GTTTGCATTACGGCCCCGACTACTAATTGATCTCGTCTGCCTAAGATCAATTCCCAACGTGGGTAGGCAGACTGGAGATCAATGCAGTTACCTTGGTAACCAGGCGTTGGAAGCGAGTTGGGAACGACGAGGCTGATATCAAATCTAACCAGATTCCCACCCGAATCACCAAAAGGTTAGAACGTCATATTTGGGTGCCGCGACCGATACCAAGCCAGTTGGTCGTCACAGGACGAGACAACACGACTGACGCGACAGGCGGACGTCACGTTTGGAGCAGCGACACCCGAACGGAGCAGCGAGGAGCGAACAGCTGGCGCCGCGGCGAGGACGTCACAATTGGTGCTGTTTGGGGACGTCACAACTGGTGCCGTGGTAGATCAACATAGAACGTCACAGTTGGCGCTCCGACCGGGGGACGACGTCACACATAGAAGCTAAAAAAAAAAAAAAAACGAAAAAAAAACCCGGAAAAAAGAAAAATTAATCTATCTTTCAGATGTAGACGGTTACATCTCAGAGACAACTGTCCCTTTAAGAATGCAAACTGCTACAAGTGTGGAAATATAGGACATAAAAAGTCACACTGTAAAACTAAATCAAGGAAAAGTTATCACAGAAAAAATTTCGCACACAGCGTTGCGACTGAAAAAATAATTTCAGAAAACCAAAGAAAATTTCTGTATGTGAAAATTAATAATGTCGATATAAAAATGCAACTAGACACTGGTAGTGATATCACAATAATCAACGAAACCATATGGAAAGCAAACAGAAAACCTACATTAAAAAAAACTTCTAAAATCGCACGTGGCGTCTCGCGTAAGAAATTATTTTTTATTGTGAAATGTTTTGCAACGTTTCATTTCGTAACGAGTGTGTAAAAGCTAAGGTTTTTGTGTTAAAAATACTATAATCTTATTCGGTACTGACTGGATGGAATTATTTGAATTGCGGGATTTACCTATAAATATTTATTGCAAAAATGCAAGTTGACAATCGACCAGTCGTAAAAAAAAAAAAAAAAAAAATCAGTGTAAAAATTTAAAGGAAGAATTGGAAAAAAATGTTTTCCGGATGTTCTGTCAGATGAATTGGGTCGGTGTTTCAAAGTTAAAGCATAAATTTCAAATGAAAAACGGGTCGGCGCTAGTGTTTAAATCAAAAATTAGTGTATCGTTCGCAGCATTGGGTCAAGTCAACGAAAAATTAGACAGACTTGAGGAAAATAGATGTAATTGAAAAGATTAAGCATTGAAAATGGGCAGCACCTGCAGTTTATGTAAAAAAAAAAATGTGTTTGTGGTGATTTTTTGACAGGGTTAAACAAATGTTTAGAATCATATAAGTATCCATTACCAAGTCCAGAGTAAATTTTTGTGAATTTAATTTTTTTTTCAAAAAAGAAGAAAAAAGAAGAATGTTCAGAGTTAATAATTATAAATACGGACAAGGAATTTGTTCAACCAACTTCCTTTTGTGATAAAAATGGCTCCAGCTATATTTCAACAAGCTATGGATACTATGTTTGCAGATTGTGATTTCGCAGTTGCTTATCTGGATAACATATTAATTAAAAGTGTATGTAAGGAACAACTTATCAGGCACGTGAAAAGAATTTTTAAAAAAATACAAGAGTACGGGTTCAAACTTAGTGAGAAAAAAATGCAAATTGTTTTTGCTTAAAATCAAGTACCTAGATAAATCATTGACAAAAATAATCGTCAACCAGATCTGCCGAGGGTAAGTGCAATTAGAATATGTCTCCTCCAGCAAACATTAATAAGTTACAAGCATTTCTAGGACTAGCAAACTATTATCAAATCTATATACCTAATATGCAAAATTTAAGACCTCCACTGAACAATTTGTTTAAAAAAGGTGTAAAGTGGAACTGGACTGATAAGTGTCAGAACGCGTTTGAAGAAATCAAGAAAATACTAACATTAGACTTGTAGTGGTGCTGTAAGTATTGTTGGCTAGGGTCACCGTGAATATAATAAAGAAGGAAGGCTGTGTTCTTGTAAAACAACACCCCACATGAATAATGCACAACAAACACGAGAGAAAAATAATCAAGCTCAGTGAACATTAATAAAATATTGTATTAACAATGATATACAAATTTCAACAATAAGTATAAAGAAAGTTGTTCTCTTTTTCCGTAATAAAAAAAGGGTAAGTTTAGCTAATAAATGTTGAGTACAAAATTGAATGTAATTTAACTACAAAGTTCAATTGAAGTTTTAGCTAAATAAAGAATAGTTCCACTGTGTTTTATCAGTGTGGAAAAATGTAATGTTCATGAGTGATATCAATAGGAATTAGTATGATTACTCGATTGAGTGATAATTAAAATTAAAATGTCAATATAGCGCCGTGCCTTATTTTCCAAGAATTGAACTGCTACTGACTGTTAGCAAACAGCGAGTGTCTTTATATAACTATGGATAGGCTCCGGATAGCTTGGCGCCAAAATATAGAAGAGATACTAAAATACGCGATTGGTCAGGAAATGGACCAATCCGTGATTTTAGAGAAAAATTCAAATGACTTGCGATGGCAAACATTGTCCTATAATAAGTATCATGTATTTATTACCCAATGACAATAAAGAAAACGGGGGTGTGGCACATGTAAGTCAAAGTCATTCCCACATTACCCCGTCCAGATTGAAAAGTCAGGGAAGAAAGAGTTTTCAATATGTAATAAAAGTACTAAAATTCTTAGGCCAGTGGACGGTACGTCCGCTAGCAGTCCTAGTAGGTGCTGGTGACGAAAGCTGAGGGCTGTCTAGCGAAGGGCTCGTAGGTTGATCCATCGCGTTCAATACATGCAGGTTTTAAGCGATCGATAGAGAAAGTCGATCGGCCGTGGTTAGTCTGTAAAGTATAATATTTATCGGTCCGGGCAAGGACACGAAATGGACCCGTCACACAAAAACGTACTCGCATTCCAGTAAGGAAGGAGGCACATAAACGTCACGTGAAGTGTAACGGGTTGGAGTAAAGGCAAAAGAAGACATTTTTTTCCGAAAATAGGTGATGAAACTGGATGAAGGTTCTTGTGTAGATGTTACGGAAAAATATTGACCTGGTAGTACCAGCTGTTGTCCGAAAACTAGATCAGCAGGTGAACATTTTAAATCTTCTTTAACCTGTGTGCGAAGCGAAAGTAAGACAAAAGGTAGGTTGTCTATCCAAGAGGATTGGTTAGTAGCGCCGATGCTGGTCAAAGCAGCTTTAAGTTGGCGGTGGAACCGCTCAACTAGGCCATTGGAACATGGGTGGTAAGCAGTTGTTGATATATGACGAGCTCCAAGTAAATTAGTAAATTCTGTGAATAGCTGAGATTGGAACTGCGGTCCTCGATCAGTGGTAATGATCGAGGGGCATCCGTAAATAGAAATCCAATGTTGAAATATGGCTCGAGCCACGGATTCAGCGGTAGTGCTGTTGAGTGGGACGGCAACCGGCCATCTCGTAAATCTATCTATAATTGTCAAAATGTATTGACATCCCCGAATAAATAAGGGACCCACTAGGTCCGCATGTAGATGTCGGAAACGACCATCAGGGGCAGCAAAACGACCAACTGGTGACTTAGTGTGTCTCTGGATCTTGTTTTGTTGACAAACAACACAAGATTGAGTATAACGAGTAATGTCTTTACGCATCTTAGGCCAGACGAAACGGTCTGCAATTAACCTAAGTGTAGCTTTACGACCAGGGTGGGACAACGAATGAAAGTGGTCAAATATTCGTCGCCGCATGTTGGTTGGGACGACGGGTCGAGGATTACGTAGACTGGTGTCGCACGCGATAAGCTTATCAGTAAAGGACAAGGGATAATGCTCAATATGTAGCGACGAATTTCGAAGTGAGTCGAGCAAAGTTATCTCCCGTACTTGTTCATCCGCGATATTTTCCATGTCTAAAAAGTATCTTGCAGGCTTCCACACAAGGATGCTCTGGAAAGTGTATCGGCAGCAATGTCATCCATTCCTTTAATGTGACGTATATCCGATGTAAACTGAGATATATAATCAAGATATCTGTAGTCCCGAGGATTGTACTTGTCTGATTTAGTTGAAAGGGCAAAAAAGTGAGGGGCTTGTGATCTGTGTAGATCACAAAGTGTCTACCCTCTAAAAGGTGTTTAAAATACTTAATTGACAAGTATATAGCTAAAAGTTCCCTGGAAAAGGTACTATACTTCTTCTGTGTGGACGTCAACTTAACGGAGAAGAAGGAAATTGGCAAAGATTTAGCGTCAACATGTTGGTGTAAAACTGCGCCTATGGCGTCAGAAGATACGTCAGTCGTTAATGATAACTGAGTGGTAACACTGTCGTTGAGGCATGAAAGTTTCGTAAAGTTGACCAATGCTTTACGAGAGTTGTCAAATGCTTGCGTTGTATCGTTGTTCCAACAAATAGGAGTATTTTTACGGTCTTGCCCGCGAAGGACATTTGTCAGGGGTACAAGAATTTGTGAACAACGTGGGATGAATTGACGATAATAATTGATTAAGCCAATGTATCTGCGAAGCTGTCGAAGCGTGGAGGGCTTCGGAAATTCCTGAATAGCACGTATCCTTTCAGGCAGGGGAGTAATACCTGTATCATCAATGACGAAACCGAGAAAGTGGAGTTGCGAAACGGCAAACTCGCACTTCTCTGGGTTGATTTTTAAACCAAAGTTCTGAAGACGATTAAAAACTTGCTGAATATGTTTACGATGCTCCTGTAAATTAGGGCTAGCTATTAGAAGATCATCAATGTATGCGAAAGTGAAAGATAGTCCACGAAGTACCTCATCAATAAGGCGTTGGAATGATTGAGCTGCGTTGCGCAGTCCAAAAGGCATACGCAGAAATTCAAATAAACCAAATGGCGTGGTTATCGCAGTTTTGGGAATATCTTCGTCAGCTACTGGGATCTGATGAAAGGCTTTGCGCAGATCCAGTTTGGTGAAGACAGTTGCTCCCTGCAAAGTCGGTCAAATTGGGAACTGGGTACTTATCGGGTACCGTTTGTGAATTAAGTCGTCTATAGTCGCCACACGGCCTCCAGGTGCCCTGCTGAGCCTTAGTGACCATGTGAAGCGGTGAGGCATATGGACTCGAGGAGGGGCGAATAATCCCGAGGTCGAGCATGTGTTGGAACTCGGCCCGGGCAATCTTGTATTTGTCCGGCGCAAGACAGCGAGGTTTAGAATAGACAGAGTTCGAATCCTGTGTACAGTGCTGTGCTTGACAGGCTCTGTATAAGTAAAAGGCTGTATCAACGAGGGAAATTTATCCAAAATATCTTGAATCGGATTATCACGCGGCACAGCGATGCGTAATTCCGTAGATGTTAGCTGTGATATAATTCCGCGGTTAGATAGCTTCGTGGTGGAGTCAGATAACTGACGCTGTAAGAGGTCCACGATGAGTTGATAATGTGCCAAAAAGTCGGCGCCTAAAATAGGGAATTTCACGTCTGCAACGGTGAATATCCATTGGTATGTCCTTCTAAGTCCAATATCCAGTGTTAACGATTGTTCGCCAAAAGTCTTGATGCCCGTGCCATTAGCGGCGCGTAAAGTGACTGAAGAGTTAGTCATAGTGAAGTTGGGTGATGGTGGAACAACACTAAGCTGTGCTTCTGTATCTATCAGGAATGACATGTTAGAATTCCTGTCTTTTATATAGAAGAGACGGTTAGTAATATGTGTCCCAACAGTAGATGCCGCCTTCAAGTGCTGCTGGGATCGGCGTTTTCCGCCTTCCGTGATGCCTTGGGTGAAGGTTGGCACTTGAAGGTACAAGGTTTAATGCATCTGTGGGCTCTATCACCATAGTTAAGATGGTACCAGCATAGCATGGGTCGGCGAGCGCGAGTAGCAGAATGAGAGCGTCGCCGTACCTTGTATGAGTTTTATCCTCTGCTCTGGTAAGATGCTGCACCTGGGTGGAAAGCCTCTCGAGTTGCTGTTTCAGCTGTTCTATTACATCCATCATAGCAACGTCAGTGGGTACAGGGGAGTCCACGCTGCTGATGCTGGATACGTCATTAATTTTATCAGCGATCTCAGCAATCCTCGAAAGATCCAAGTCATCGGGTAGCGTAGCCAGAATCTGTGAAGTGTATGGCGGTAGCTTGTCCAGCCAAAGTTTGCGGAATAGTGATTCCGACATCCGAGTTCTTCCCTAATAAATTTTTCATACGTCTAAGCAACTGCGACGGGCGGCTATCTCCGAGCTGTATAGTATTAAATAGATCGTGCAACCTGCGCTCATGCGATTTCCCAGTACGGTAGATGATGGCTTCCTTTAGTATATCAAAGCGGTTATAAGCGGGAACGGTTTCTAAAAGGTCTAGCACGTCAGCAGCGATCTCTGGTGGCAGCTTCTCGACTATGTACGCGTAACGCGCAGTCTGAGAGTGAATATGCTTTGCTTGGAATATGGCTTCAGTCAGGGCGAACCACACGTTTACATTAGTCATGTCAAAAGTTGGGAGGGTCAGCACAACGGCTGTCTCTTGTGCAGACTGTTCAGCCATTATGAATAACACGTGGTGTTTCGGCGCGAAGTAATATCTCTCAATAAATTGGATCGGTGAGTCGTCCAAATGTGGTTGGTATAAGGTTCCGAAAGTCGTAGTTACCAATGCTGTGCAAAATTAGTTCCTATGTAGTTCGGACGTCAGGTTTACCAAATGTAGTTCCTACATCAGGTTATGAAATGTAGTAGGTACGTCAGGGTTATCAATTGTTGTGGTGCTGTAAGTATTGTTGGCTAGGGTCACCGTGAATATAATCAAGAAGGAAGGCTGTGTTCTTGTAAAACAACACCCCACATGAATAATGCACAACATACACGAGAGAAAAATAATCAAGCTCAGTGAACATTAATAAAATATTGTATTAACAATGATATACAAATATCAACAATAAGTATAAAGAAAGTTGCTTCCCTTTTTCCGTAATAAAAAGGGTAAGTTTAGCTAATTAATGTTGAGTACAATATTGAATGTTATTTAACTAAAGTTCAATTGAAGTCTTAGCTAAATAAAGAATAGTTCCATAGTGTTTTATCAGTGTGGAAAATGATGTTCAATGTTCATGAGTGATATCAATAGAATAATTAGTAAAATGATTACTCGAATGAACTGTAATAATTAAAACATTAAAATGTCAATATATAGAAGAGATACTAAAATACGCCGTGCCTTATTTTCCAAAAAATTTTGATTGAACTGCCTATAATGGTTGTTGGCTAACAATGACAAGAAAACGGGGGTTATAGTTAAGCATAGGCTCCAGTGAGCATTAACGCGCAAAAAAATAGAAAGATATTAAAATACGCGATTGGTCAATTCTACATAAATATAATGCCAATCCGTGAAAGCCGTTAACAAGTAAAAGATTTATTGTAAGGGAATTAATTCATTAAATTTTATTTTGATGAAGTAAGAGTTATTTCCCTTGAACATTTTGAACGCTAAGAATTGTAGTTCATGTCAGTGTTTATCTACTTGGTTCATTAACGATAAATGAAATAACTAACGTGACGATGTTTAATGAAATTTAAAAGTTTAAATTTAATAGTGAAACTTATTCATCGCAAACAGCATAAGTTACTAACAATTAGCGTTGCTTATCCTGTAGATAGTTAAAAAATAAATGTATTATGATAAACACACTATCATCAGGCAATGAATGAAGCTTCGTAAAAAGCAATCGTAGGTCATTAATATTGGCGAACGTATAACAAGTAAATGTTTATCTTTACATTTAAAAAAAATATTCCAACATTTAATTATATAATATATAATTATATAATAATTATATATATAATTACATAATAATTATATAATATTATATTATATAACAGCGATGGTATATTTTTTCCTGAGCTAATGAATTTGATAAAAAATTGTTTTTTTACTACTATTGTTCACCCAAGAAGACACTCAATACAGTGGTTGGTTTATGGAAGTAAAAAAAAAACTAGTCCGAATGTAAATAATGTAAAAACACGAATATAATCTTCCGTATTAATAAGAACATCTCGTTCATTTTCCACTCGATGCTTCAGGTCGTAGGTAGTTATGGTTCTCCACAACTTTCTTTTCTTTAGCATGTGTAAATTGACATGACTTATTGGGAAAGATTGTGCAGTGTCTGTGATAAGCAGTAATAGTGGGTCATAACTGATTCTTGTTACATCCGGGCATCAAGAGTTGTATGCCTTTGTTTTATTGTTGTTACTTGGTAATAAATGGTTAAATCTAACAGACGTGTTCCCGTGTCGTGAGTGAGAAAGCTTTAAACAAACGAACCCAACTAAAAAGATAAAACATAGTGGTTTACCGTTAACTTTATCGGAATTAGATCCTGCATATATTTTTCAACCAATAAAATCCTATCAGAAGGTTTTTTTTTATAAACACTCATTACAAGGGCAAATACCGCCAAAATATTGGCGGACGTAGTTGTTACTTTTGGACCATTTAAAAAAATAACAATAATAACTCCATTTACTACACCCGAAAATTCGTGAAAAAGAATTTCACGAGCCATCTTGAAATTATTTTTTAAATTATGAAAACCTCTATGTGAAATTAGAGTTTGAATCCCCTTACGGATATAAAAAAATAGATGCTGTTATGGAAATGAACATACCTCTCCAGAATCTGACTTGGACTCGTCCAAATAGCATATATACTGAATCCAGTAATCGTCAGTAGAGAGCTAGCCGGGAGCGAGCCTTATATTCTTTCTAAACGATTTTGTCTTCATTCAATGGAATGAAGACATAACAGTGGCGACTAGGATTTGAATTCACATAATAAGAAAAAAATTCTCTCGCTTAGCATAAATAGCTGGCGAAGAAATTTCAAAATTCACGGAAAAGCAATTGTGGAGATCGTTGTATATTCATAGGTCGTCGCGAAAGTCGATAAACTCCAAGGGTGTATGACAGTACTATTAGGAAAAAAAAACCTTTTTCTTCCTAGTTAAGGACTACTTGTACGAAAATAATAGACTTTGGTAGAATTGAAGATAATTATTCAGCAACTTAAAGTCAGGATAGTAATTCTATTATCACTAAAAAAAAAAAAAAAAAAAAAAAGGATTTTGAAACAATTCCACGTAGGACATCCGGGAATAGTTAAGATGAAGTTCTTGATGAGAAGCTACGTTTATTGGCCAAAGTTGGATAAAGATATTCAAAATTCAGTTAGAAAATGTAATGGTTGTAATTCAGCAGCAAAATCACCACTTATAGATTATCAGGTATGGCTGAGCACTGATAAATCGTGGGCAAGACAACACATGGAATTTGATGGGCCGCTAAACGGTTCATACTATTTAATAGTTGTCGACAGTTTCACATAATGGCATGAGATATGAAAGTGTAAACGACATACTACCGCAATAACAATTAAATTCTTATGCCAATCTTTTGCAAGGGTAGCTGAGAGTGTGGTATCCGATAATGGAACTCAATTTACTTCTAGTGAGTTTAAAATTTCTGCAGTTCCGCGGTTGAACATTTGACAACGACGATTTATCATCCGAGGTCGAATGGTCAAGCTGAGCGGTTTATTGACACCTTAAAAAGGGTATTAAGAAAAGCTAAAGGATTGGAAGCTGAAAAAAAGGCACTACAAGAATTTTTGAGCGTATATCGAATAACGTCAAATGCAAACGTCACCGCGAAAAATGTCACCTGCAGAGCTCATATTTGCTACGAAAGTTACATCCATTTTTGACAAATTACTACCAGGGAATGAAAAGAAAAGTAGACAATTTGAAACTACCAGATCATTTAAGATCGTCGATAGAGTCATCTTTAAAATCTTTAAGGCTGGAAAGGAAAATTGGCCTGAAAGAAAAAATTATCCGACGCTTTGTTAGTAGGATGTACATTGTAGAAGGTGGACGATTTCAATATAGAAGACATATAAATCAATTGAGGTCCAGATATGTACAGAATATGCAAAACAGTACAATTTAATTCACCGATGGACATAGTTTACAATATCATTGATGTACCTATTCCAAAAACTAAAATTTTCACGATAAAACTATGTTTTCATTACGTTTCGAGCCTATTTTCATCACAGTATGCTGTTTTATTTTAACGTTAATGAATTTGGCTGATGAAAAAAAATTCTACAGAATATATAGAGAGATTTCAATATGTACTGGAGTAAAAGGTTTTAAAAAAACAATTCTTTATTAAATTTTTGATTTCATTTTCGTTTTTCGTCGCGATTCGAATTGATATCTTCTTGTAGAGAACAAAACAAGATCTAGATTTAAAATTCAATGCTAAGCACTGACTCATTGATTTTGTTAGAAATTAAAAAGTTTCGAATTTACAAACTTTGCTTAACACCCACGCAAAAGCGAATCCAAAACGAAACTCGTGAAATTTCACACCTTGATGCGAAATGTTTTTCGGCCAATACAAAACTAGGAAACATTTAGAAACAAAATCCAAATAATCTTCAATTCTCAGAAACAAATTCTTTTATGGATCTTTTTTTTTGTCAGCCGATGCGAAGTTTGTTCGTCGTTCAATGGAAAGGCCCTAATCATATCCGGGAGTGAATTCCCAAATGACTTTTTCAAGCCCACAAACAAAATAAAAGACGGGCAAATTCGCCTGTCACTAGAGAGAAGTAGACGAGCGTCCCCTGACAAACGTCAAGTGATTGTTATTATTATCTCTCCCTCTCTCCCTCACCTCTTTTATACTTGATAAACGAACGGAACATTTTAAGACTGAGCGATTACTTCAAAGACATTCCTATCCTACGATAACGCTAATGCATACATACATTCATCCATTCACACATACGTTCCTGCCTACGTACGCATAAACTCATTCTTGCAAGGACTACTAAGAACAGTTTGATGACCTTGTATCAACCAAAATACATTAATTTTATTTGTAAAGGCCTAAATTAATTTATACGTATATAAATTTGTAGTTTCATTTTACAATTTGATTTTCTTGTTTTATACCCCTCTTATGGTGGGCTATCTAACAAGGCCAAATCTGTTTTCACACTAATCTGTTTCATACTCATACACTTCACTATAACTGATAACCCTCTATAATCTAATTAAACCGCCGTAAATAAAATAAAACCTAACGGGGAAGGGTACTTTTCTTATGTCGATTAAGGACGTTTGGATTTTTTAAGAAGGATGTCTGTTTCCACAGCTAGATTTTTTTTTCCACAGACTACAACCACACGGACGATATGACTTTTTAAGGGTAGGTTGAGCTAATGTAAAGTTTCTAATCGCAAATACGCTTAATTTAAATTTTATTTTACGTTTAAATGATCGAATGGATCGAGCCATTTTCTTTGTATTTAATAAATTCGAATCTGGTGAATTTAATGATGTACATGGCGAAATTTGAAACGAATTAATTTTTTTGCACTGTAAACACTACGAATATCGTATTCAAAGAAAGATTGTGCTGAATTAATGTGTTAAATAAAGATTTTATTTAGAAAATAAACTACGATTCATT